CAGCACCTGCCCCTCTGAGGTGCTGCTGGGCCATGGGAGGGAGGATTTGATGCTCAGTCTCCACTCCCCAGGAACACAGCTGGGGATTCACGAGGGTCCTTTCAGGGAACATTTCTGGCCTCAGCCAGAACATCTGGGACAACACCTGTGAGGCTGCAATATTCTGTGTTTTCCATTTTCAGAGAGGAGCTAAAACTCACCACAGAAAGCGCTGATGAAAGTGGCATCTTTTACCATTGCACTTCAACACCTGAGGTGCAGAATATGTGGCTCACACTGGCACATTTCTAATGCCATCAACAACAGGGAAAGCAGCTGCTGACATCCAGCTCCCCTCAAGCAGCACCAGCCTCTTCAGCATCCACATTTCACCAGGGCTGTTTTCACCAGAGAATTTTGAAGGAGAAAAATTCACCAGTTACAAGCTGAAACTCAATGGCAGCCAGGCAAATCCTCCCTCTCTGGACCTTTCAAAACACTTTCTGAAGCCCTTGTGCAGCCCAAGCCTCACTCTGCCCACAGCCTCTGATTTATTACCTGTTTTAAAGGACTTTATGGCTGTTTCTGCAGTGGGAGATCACCACAAAGGCTCAGGCCACACTGCTGGCTCAGGGCTGCATGTTTGTTCCTCTCCAAAATTCACAGCCACGCTGATTTTATTCCAGGCAGCCAGGGCATCCTATGGTCCAAATGGTTCATTATCTCAGGCTTTCTTTAAAAGGTCAAGAAATACTCTCTGCTTGGCAGTTGGACTTGGGTAGGAGTCATGGAGTCTCAGGATTTGTAGCATAACAAGGTTATTAAATTGCAGACCCTGAGCAGAAGCAACACCAAAAATTTGCCTGAAGTTTTTAAAGAAAGGAAAAAAAAAAAAAGAGTTAAATTTTGAGAAAATTGTATTTTCCCATTTCTTTACAAAAAGTTATAAAATATAAAAATAATATAAAATAAAAATATAAAATAAAAATAAAGATCTAAAAAATAAAAATAAAATATAAAATATAAAATATAAAATATAAAATATAAAATATAAAATATAAAATATAAAATATAAAATATAAAATGTAAAATGTAAAATGTAAAATGTAAAATGTACAATGTAAAATGTAAAATGTAAAATGTAAAAAAGTTGGCTCACAAGGCAAATAACTCTGCTTTCCAAATAATATAATTTCTCATTTTTTATTTATTTTCTGACCTGTTGCCTCCAGGCTCTTCTTTCCTTTTCCTATATTTTTTTTCCCCTGCTGCAGCTACTGGAGAAAAGAAGGAAAAGACAAGAAAAGAGTAGGAACTCCCTCCTCCAAAAGTTACCTGTTCAACAGCTGTTCAGCTCCCACTGCCTTTGTGTCAGATTGAGAAATTCAAAGCTCATAAGGACCAAGTAGAACCACCAGCTGCAAGTGCAGGAACAGCTCCTGGTGCTGCAAGTGAGCATCTTTGGGTCCAGGGCTATTTTGGGATGGACTGGCACCCACACCCTAAAATCCCACCTGGGCACCGGGAATGGGATCACAGAAATAGAAATAAAACAGCCCAGCATTGAAAAATCCACATCCCCTCTTCACCTCTTTGCTACCGAGTCTTGCTGACTGCTTAAGCTAGGAGAGACCAAATGAAGACAAATGCACTTAAAATGATGAGTCCCCAAAGCAGAAAAGCTCTGGGAGTTTGTGGTGCTCGGATCTGACCGCTGTGAAATCCAGCAGCAAAACTCCTTGGCTGGCAAAGAAGCACTTTGGCTCCAACTTCCATGGACTGGGATGCTCAGGAGTCCTCGTTACCCTTTGTACCCCACAGGTCTCCATGGAGCACTGGACAGAAATCATGAATGCCAGCCCCGAATTCCAGCCTGGCAACACTCAGCAGAACTCAGACTTCAACCTCTACAGGGCTTTATGGAGCCCAAACTGAGTTTTATTGACTCCAGGAGCTGCCTGGACAAAGCATTCTTTGTAAACCCCATTAATTTCCTGCTTTTAGCAAACACTTTTCCCTTCCACATTATAATTATCTGCTAACAAAGCAGAAACCACTAGACTGGCAGGATCCACTCCCAGGGTTTGTAACACCCATTTCTCTGTCACAGGTACATTGTCACCCTGGCACAACTGCTCTATTTTTGCACTCATAGGAGGAGGAGCAGAGGGAAGGTGGGTGCAGGGGGAGGTTGCAGGCTGGAAGAAGAGGGGCAGGAGATGAGATGATCTCTGGGATGATGTTCTTGCTTCACCTGCTGCTGAAGTAGCACAAAGGGTGAGGACGGTGGCTGCAGATCCGGAGGTGCTGCTGCAGGCAGGGAAGGATTTCCCAACCTCAGCAGCCCCGTGCCTCTCATGCCACGGGCCCAGCTGCAGTCTCTGCTGGGCAATTCAACCTCAGGCTTCCAGCCCCAGAGTGATGAGAGCTGGTCAGGGATGACAGCCACAGCTGGTGAACCTGCACAGCAGGAATGAACGTCTTGCCAAGCTCTGGGGTATCCTGGACTTCCAGTGGCTCCAGGAATGGAAACTTTGAACAAAAAAGTGATGCTCCAGAGGATCCCCACATCCTCACACACACCTGAGCACTCTGCCACGTACAGACCTGTCCCAGGAACAGAAACACAGACAGACCTGTGCTATTCCTGTGGGAAAAACCACGTGGGATGGATCCTCCAAAAGGCCACGCTCCATCACTCAGAGCAATACTGCCTGAACCCCCTCCAAGAATTTATTTATAGGTGGCACAAATATCTTTACACACTTCAGAGCAGTTGTCCCTGGGACCTGACACCCTGGTTGCTGTCACCCTCTGAATTTTCCCTCTTGGATTTGCCCCTCCCTGACACCCAGACATTGCCCAGCAGACCCCAGTGCTGGCTGCTCCTGTCCCAGACACCTGCTGCCTCGGGTGGGGATGCACCCTGAACCAAATGGACTTGTTCCTTTCCCACTGCACTCACTCAGCTCCAAGGTGGGTGTCTGTGCTCCCCATCAGCTCAGAGAAGACTTTCCCCTGGGACCAAGGGCTGCTGGAATCCAGGGGAGCATCCCTGGGAACGTCCAACCTTGCTCAGGGTGTCCCAGCTCCTTTAGCTTGTGCCCCAACCTAAACAGCACTTCAACAGCATCTTCCTGCTCCCTGCTCACTTTCTTTTTGTCACCTGCAAATTTAGATTAACAAGGAGGTTTGACAAAGTGCTCCTGTATATGTTAATAAACCCATTAGTGTCGGCCCGCCTGACATATAACCTGCAGAGCCTCCAGTGTTTACTAATATGATTGTCAAAGCAGAGGAACATTACTTTTTAATGACATTTCATATCACTTCAGTTGAAGTAATATCCTGGGACACGATAATCAGAAAGCCATTTAGCCACAAAACTATGTGCAGAATCGAGGCTGGTGCATGAAAAAATGCTCATTTTGTCAGAATTAAAACATTTGTGTTTGCTTCATAAGTTGTAAGTGCACTTGTGGAGGAGAAACATGTTGTGAAATATTTATTGGAAGCAGCCAGGCTCAGGTAAATGGGGCTTCAAAATGAAATGCTGGGAAGGGTTATTATTCTAGTCGCTGTCTCTTTTGCATGTGATACATCAACTGACAATTTAAATGTATGAAATGCTTAATAAAGCAACGAGATTTTAGAACTCCTCTTTAAAGAACAGTTCTGAAGCAGTATGAGTGGCCATAAGCAGCCCTGCTGAATTTACTGCTGCTTTCAGAGTCAGGGAATGGCTGCAGGACAGACTGACAGGGAGTTTGATTTTATAGTGCACCTCACATGCTCCAGGTGATTCCCAGCTGCTTTATGAAGAGTGAGTGAGGTACAAAGACAGCAGAGGCACAGGGACTGCAGCCCTGCTGCTCTTAATAGTGATTCTCTCCCCAGCTTGGCTGTCCAGGGCCATCTCTGAGCTTTGCACTGAACTTTAGAGGCAGCAGATTGAGGAGCAAAGGGTGCTCATCCAGGGGAAAACAAACTCTGAAACTCCCTGAAACATCCTCAGAGCTGCACTGGAGTCATTGAATAATACAAACAAATGATCCTGGTTTAGCTAAAGATACATAAATTAACAATAAATTTATAATTTCTCCTTTTTTAGAAATAAAGAACCAAGGGGATCCCTCTTTCAATCTGCTCAGAACAACCCTTCTGATAGAAATCACAGCAATTGATTTAGTTCAAGTCTCCTGTTGGATGGTGGAGAGAGCTGATTAAAGCTATGCATGTACTCCTAATAGGAGCAGGATGCCTTTCTGTCATTATTATTAATTATGCTGCTGTGATTACTATCTGTTCATCCACCCACTCACATCCCTTTCTAGCATCCCAGCACTGGATACCACATATATATGAATACAAATTCTTACTATCTTTTTGTACCAGGTTTTCCAGGAAGGAAAAAAAAAACCAACAAAAAAACCCAACCAAACAAACAAATAAAAACAAAAAAAAAACCCCACAAACAAACAAAACCAGATCAATCCCCCTGAATTAACAAGATCTTGTAATAAATGAGTGTGAGTGTGCCTGTGTGAGAAAGTGGTGGGAGATGTGTGGGTGGGATGTACGTGGGAGCATTTGGCTGTGACAAATTCACACAGGGAAGGTTAAGCCAAAAAGAAAAAGAGACTTTGTGTTTTGTGTTGGAGCCACAGGGCTCTTACAACCTCCCCCTGCCACAGAAGCATCACCTGGGAGCCAGGTTTTTTTAAACTCTTGGCCACTGGCCTCAAGACAGTCAGAAATTTTCTTTCACCAATAATTAGACGGCGATAAGAGGAAACAAAGGGCCCTCGGAGCAGTAAGAGCTGCAATAAGAGATGAATTATTAGGCCAAGATGGAAATCTCTGTTGATAAATGACTGGCCCCAAGCAAGGAAGGACTCAGCAAAACACGAGATCCTTGTTGTGACACCAGGAAGGGGAAGGAACAACATTGTAAGGCACAACAAAGACTCCGTGCTGCCGCCTTGATCAATTGATTAATCAAGCAATATTAATATTTTTACCTCTTTCTTTGCATCAGTTCCAGCCTCTAAATGTGGTGTGCAGGATGGTGTGTCCAGTTCTGGACCTGGTTTGAAACCATGGAGAGGTCCCTGACAAATATCACCCTGGGGAAGGAGGGTAGAGTGAAGATGCCAACACATCCCCAGGATTGGTGCCAAAATCCAGTGGATCCTCACAGCACTTCAAAGTTATCACTCCAGAACTGAGCCTCAGCAGCCTGGGAACAAAAAGAAAATGAGAGAAAACCAGGTTTTTCCTTTTCTCCCCTTCTGTGGGAGTCTGGCTCAATAGGGTGAGTGATGCCTCATCCTCCAAGTGGAAGAGCTGCCATTTATTAATGCCCAGTTCCTGGGATTTTTAAATCCTAGTTCAGAGTGGGGGAAACATCCACTGGCATCACTGAAAATAAACCTGACAATGAGGCATTGGGTGAAGCACTGAAATCAGCAGGTTTTAACATTGCAGCTGCTCTGGGCTTTGGGAGGGGAGGGTCAGAATGTTTTTATGCCAACGAGGTGCAAGAGGAACCCAATCCTCTGTGGATTGGTGCCCTGCCATGATCAGGGACACTGTTGGAGTTCCCTGTAGCCTGGAACGCAGTTATCCCTGGGGGCTGGCACTTGGGGCCTCTGCTACCACTATTTTTAGTGGAAGAATTAAGTAGAAACAACTAGCAGAATGTACATATATGTATTTCTATATTGTGTATACACACACCTTTAAAAAACTGAAATGGCTTGGTCTGGAATTGCTAAACCTCTTTCTTTCCTTATCCTCCTCCAGCAACCACTACCAAAACACAGCTCTCCATCTAATGAGATTAGCAAGGTACCATGCTAGATCTTTATTAGTTAAAGCTGACCATACTGCAAAACTTAGCCTGAATTGCAATGAGCAGACTGCCAGGGTGAGGAGTGCAGCCAGCAGGCAGATTTATTCCAAATGGGGCTCTGCCTTAGGGAATGTGCTTCTTTCTCTTTAACTCCCTGAAAACTGGTAGCCAAAGTTCAGCTCTCCTTGCCTGTGGTGCCACTGCTTCCTGCTCACACTGGCTTTACAGGGGCTGAATTCCACTGCTGTGGTGATTTGCATGAACACAAGGTAAGAGAGAAATGAATTTATTTGACCTGATGGCTCACAGCAGGATTTAGCATTGAGGACAACTATACATGGCAAGTCCTGCCTTCTCTGCTTTATTTGACTGGCAGATTGGAGAAACCGAAATATCAAATATTAATACTGCTGGTTGTTGATATCAGCAGTACTTATTTTTACAGGCATCTTCTGCCCTCAAACAAGTTAGTTTTGATCCCAGTGTTTTATTTTGTGAAATGGGGGCAGGGAGGAGCAAGTGAGAGACAGAGAGAAGTTCTACTATCAAACAAACAGTGCTGGCCTACCCTTACACCTTGATGTGGTCCATCAGAAATCTTTCAGGCTTTCCCAGGTCATGCCCAGATCTTCCTTTTAAAGGTCTCAGGAGAACCAGCACGTGCCTTGGGGAAGGAGCAGAGGCCAAAGCATGGCCATGGATGAGTGTTTCACTGGAGCAGAAATGGCAAGCATATGCAGAAGAGATCTGGTTTCCATCAGCCTGTTATTTATAGCACAGCTTGCACACCATGGCTTAGATCCATTCATGCTTGTTCTTTTGGGCTATCTCAGTGCTCTGCTGCACTTCCTCCTCACCTGAGCAATGAATCTGTGTGTTCCACCCTGCCATGGTGAGGCTGTTCACGTCTCATTTAGCTGTGTGTTCACTTAATGTGCTCTGCAGAGCTCGGCTGCTCCTGAAAATGGGGTTTGAAAGCAGAGCATCTCCAAAACATCCTTCTGAGCCTTGGACTGTGGTGGTGAAGACAGCCTGACTTATCAGCTGTGCTCAAGGGAGAGACCTGGAGCCTTTGATTCATGAGCCCCAGAGGAGAAACTCCCTCTCTACAGCTGCATCAATGGCATGGAGGAGAACACAGCCTGGTGGAACAGCCAGGCCCTCTGCTCTGCTGCTGCACTCTGACAGCAAGGACTTCAAGTCCCACCCTGGCCTGTGCTCAAACCATTCCAGACAGCAGAACTCTCTAGCTGGGCCTGAAACAAGCACCAACCCAGCACAACTGGTGAGGGAATCTGCAGCCCATCCTCGTGCTGATTGCTCACACAGAGCAGAGTGAGAGTGGTAGGTCCCATCTGGCATGCCTGGAGTCATCCAATACTTTTCTAAGCACTGAGTTCAACAATGGCTGTTTGGTCTCTGCTGTTGATCAAATGGATGTGTCAGTGCTGTTCAGGACCCCCAGGTAGACCTGCAGGATGATGGCTGATGGTTGTCCTTGAACCAATGTCTGAATCCCAGCACAAAGGCTGGGACAATTTCTTGGATACCTAGAACCAAACAACAGGAGGTGACACAGCTCTCTGTCCCTGAGGCCACAACAAACAGAATCAAACAGTTTAACTGCTGGATTTCACTGGCAAAGCAGGACATGGGCCTACATCAGCAGCATGTCTTCCTCCCAAACCCACAGAGATAAAGCTGACAGGAGCCCAGGCCTCTCAGTCATACCAGGGGCTCCATAACCACAACAGATGTAGCACCACAGTCTTCACCACCTTCTGGACCCTGGCACCTTAAATCAGTGCTGGCTTAATTACCAAAAAACCACTTAAGAGCTTTGACTGAGCGAGATGTCCTCAGGAGAGGAGGTGACAGGTTTGGTCTACCACTACACCTGTCAGTGGCTCACTTTAGGGGAGATGTACCTTACGACCTTCTTCTGGAATTTGAGGCTTCAATCAGGTGCCTAAATGCAGGCAGCTGCTTCCAGTGCCCCTGCAGAGGTGGCAGATCTGCCAGATCCACACAGAGATCTCATGATGGGCTTATTGGGAAACCAACTAGTATCCAAGCAGAATTCAGGATAAAAATGAAAGTAGAGATTGAGAGTTGTGGGGCAGAGCAGAGCAGAGATACTGAAGGTGCTTAATAATTTAACTTATCAAAAGGAGAGGAAGAAGTATCTTATTAAAGATGAAGAGCACTTTCTAAAGATGAGATCTCTTGTAACAGAACTCTATTTAATCTAACAGACAAAGCCATATCAATATCCAATGGCTGGAACCAAAATTAGACAAATTCAGACTGCAAAGAAAGTGCCAGTTTGTAATTGAAAGAGTAATGAGCCATTGGAATTACTCACCCTGGGCTGTGATGAATTCCCCACCATCTGAGTAGATGCTGTTCTAAAATGCAGCACACTGCAGACACATATTTCTGTGTTTGGGAAATAATGGTAAAGCCTTTCCAGCTTGCATGAGTTTTCTGTGCTGTAAAACACAAACAAAAGAAGTATCAGACTGCTCAGTCACAGATGGAGAAGGAAAGCAGAGTGAGTGTAAGTGGGCAGAGTGGATAGTGATGCCTGGAGAGGCTCCTGGAGCAGAGGCTGGGCAGGGTTAAAGGAATAAAGCAGGGATTTATTAAAAGCCCTTCCAAGGATGCACCTTGGGCACTGCAAGAGCCCGGCCGTGGCTGCAGCCAGGATGGGCCCTGGCTCAGGAGTTTCACCCTTGGATCAGTTCTGGTCCATTTCCAGCTTGGGCTGAATTGTGCAATTGCAGCTGCAGGTGATGCAGTCCCATCCTCCCAGGTTGCTCTCCTCAATTCCCTGCTGGTTGCACTTTTTGGGCCTGGAGCTGCAGCGGTGTCCTTGGCTGTGGGGCTGGAGAAGGATTGTTGTGTGTGCCTGAGCTGTGAGGAGACCTTGCTGACACTTTGTGTGGAGATCAGAGTTAGGAACCAGTGCAGAACCTGGAGAATGTCACAGCTGAAACTGAGGCATCAGCAGGACTATGGAAGGGACTTGGGATGCTTCAATGCCATCAGTGCCTGCCTGTGATGTGTCCTTCCACTCTGCAGAGCAGCCCAGCCCTGGAGCAGCCTGCACTGTGCTTAGCACCCTCAGCAAGGTGACACAGAGAGTAAACTCAGAGTAACAAGGACAGGGGAAACACAGAGACCATCTCAGCCAAACACCCCCAGAACATCTCCAGCCTTTATCCAGTACATCTGAGCTCTCAGAGCCCTCCAGAGCACACCCTGCAGCACGGCTCAGTGCTCCAAGGAAACCTGCTGCCCTCCTTTCCCTGCCCATCCCCATCTCCTGCACATGACACAGCACAAAGTACACCTGAGAGGGATATTTTCATTTTATTTCAGGCAGGAAAAAGAGAAAACCACAGGGGAAACAGTCACGTGCCAAGACACCTCTGTGCTTATCCTGGACTTGGATACCCCCTCACTGAAAAAGTCTGTATGGCTGACTTCAAGGGCATGTAATAAAAACTAGGAGGAAGGGCAGACAGAGGTAAGAGCTGGACTGACTTTCTCTTGGCCCTGGGAAAGAGGTAACTCCTGGAAGTAGGTGAATAAATGATTCCTTTGCTGCTGTTGCCCTGAAGTGAAAGGCACAAAGATTATTTCACCCCACTCAAAGTAAAAACAAATGTTAAAGATGTATTGAAAACAAATAAAATATTTCACCAATTTTGTGCAGTTTCATTTGGGTGCTGTGAAAAAGGCTCTTGAGGAATTAAATGTAGAAATTAAATTCTAAGACACCTGCTTTGAAGTAACCAAGACAAGTGTGCCAGCTTGGGAATGAAAAATCCAAACCATTTGAGTTGGAACCATTGGGGATAGAGATTAGGGAGTAAATTTGTGGGCATTTTTTATAAAACCCCTACAGAAGAACTGGTAAGATTTTATATAGACCAAAACCAGGACAGACTCAGCTTGGAGAAGTCCAGAGAAATTCTGTTCCTCCTGCTTTGCCTGCAAACACATCACAGCAGCTACCACAAAACACCGTTCATCACAGGCAGAATCCAGGAGCACAAGGTCAGCTCTTACACCAAGGCTGGGAGCAGAATATAACCAAAATCTTAAAAAGCAAGGATGAAATAGGGAGCCCTCTGAAAGTTCAGACAGAAAGAAATGTTACTGCTTCTCAGGCAAACAGGACAACTTTATAAAAATATTTTTAGCTTTATTCACTTGAATTTATTTATTCACCAGCAGAGTGGCTTGAGGCAGAATGCAGCCCTTGGTGGTGATATTTTGGGTTGATATGACCACATTCAGGCTCATTCTGACTTTTGTTATGGGAAGCAAGCCTTTGGTTCAAGAGCTTTGCTGCCTGAGTTTCATATGGGCCTCCTGAACATCTACAGAGCTCCTAGAAGCCCTCCAAAACCTCAGTATAATTTCAGGAATAGCTATGGCTCCAAGTAAACAGCTTCCAAATGATGGAGAAGCTGCTGGAAATGTCCAGATCTCTGTTGAGAAATTACAGAGCTACAATTTACCCAGGTTGCTGTGGACATGAGAGGGATTGTTAATTTAGTAACCTCATTTTTCAGGTGGTAACCTGACCACAGAGAGATCGAAACCACCATGCAAAGGCACACAGGATATCATATTGAGAAAGAGGAAAATTCACACAAGGTGTTTGCTTGAGTACTTCCAAAAAAATCAGAGACCCTGGATGTTTTCTGGCAATTATTTTGAGTTCTCTCCTAAGAAGAGCAGCAAGGCTACTAAGAATTGCCTCCTGAGCAGGACAGCCTGGGCTTCATGCAGAAACAAACAAAATATAAAAATCAGGAAGTTATAGTCACTAGTCTGTGCATCCTTCCTGCTCCCAAACTTCCCAGTTGACTGTTTTCTGAAATGCTTGCCCAAGTTTGTGAGGTTTGAGGAAGCTGAATACACACACTCCTTTCCTTGGAGCAGTGGCTACGACACTGCCTGAACCACAGGAAAGGCAGGATGGGTGAGAAACTCTTCCCTCACTTTGGGAAATGAAGCAGTCAGGATACCAGGAGGGTGGTCTGCCTGTTGACTCAGGAGACAGAATTCAAACTGAAAGCTCCATGTGGAGCAAATTAGCAAAAACTAATTCTAATCCGTCCCACGCTGGCACAGAGGCACGTCAGCCCTGCTTAAAATTGCACCTCCCTGCAGATCTGGGCTGCTCCTCGTCCTGCATGGAGAGAAAAAAGGATGGGGAGAAGCTGCATTGCAGCCAGAATGCAGATGGTCTGTGTTACTGAGCCTCAGGAGGATCAGCCACCTGCCCCCGTGCCCCAGGATAAATCCCAGCCTCCTCCAGTGCCCCCAGGGAGGAACAGCGCTCTCCAGACTCTGCCAGGCTTCAGTCTGACTGGTTAAGGAGATGTAAATACTGAGCCCCTCTCAGCCTGTAATCGTCATCATCGTCCTGTTTGGGGAGCTACTCACATCTTTGAGCAGTTATCCATGTCTCCTCCACCTGAGGAGAACGTCTGGAGCCCATTTCCAGCAGGCAGCAGGGCACTGGTTTTCTTTAGCTGACACAAACAGAGTTTGTCAGCTTGTGCATTCTCCATTTCTGCCTGGTTTAGAGTTGCTGCCGATCCTTGGGAGCAGCTCAGCAGCTGGAAATGGAGACCTTGCAACCCTCACCACAAAAGGGCTCATTCAGCTGCCCCAGGTCCTGCCCA